TCTGTCTGTGTCTGTGTGTGCGTCTGTCTGTGTGTGTCTGTGTGTGTGTCTGTGTGTGTCTGTTTGTGTGTGTGTCTGTCTGTGTCTGTGTGTGTGTATCTGTCTGTCTGTCTGTGTCTGTGTGTATGTCTGTCTGTGTGTCTGTGTGTCTGTCTGTGTGTGTATGTCTGTGTCTGTGTGTCTGTCTGTCTGTTTGTGTGTCTGTCTGTCTGTGTGTCTGTGTGTGTGTGTCTGTGTCTCTGTGTGTGTGTGTCTGTATGTCTGTGTGTGTTCAGGTCCTGGGGCTTGAACTCAGGGCCTGGGCGCTGTCCCTGAGCTTTTGTGCTCAAGGCCGGCGCTCCACCCCTTGAGCCACGGCTCCGTCTCTGGCCTTTGGGAGGTAATGGAAGAAGGGCGTCTCACGGCCTTTCTCTTCTTCTAGTTGATGCAGACGCTGCATCTCGTCCATTCCCCCTCTATCATTTCCTGCCCTCCCCCTTCCCTCCCCAGAGCAGCCTCCAAGCCTCATGGTTCCACGGCCGCGCGTGTTTGCGCAGTGCTTCGACGTTATGGCCCCGCCTGCCCAGCCCTGGACAGCAAGTCGGGATAGAATAACTTCACAAAGGTAAAACACAGCCGGGGGACCCTCCCGTTCCCTTCCCAGCCTGCTCCTGGGCTCAGGCTCTTCACCCCGCCACCCACCGGGGACCCATCTCCAACATGCTGTGATTTAATCTCAGAGACACCTACAGCAATTCCAACCATCCCTCCCACTGTGGCTCTTAAAGTCAGGATTCTATTACCTAAAAACGATGATTTGAACACTCAAAAATGACATCGATGGAATCAACCAGACACAGCTTACAGAGAGACAACGCCATCTTTGCAGTTTTTAGTTATACAAGAAACGACAAATAATAAGCAATAGCGGCAGCTCTTGTTCTCAGGATGCTGCGATCCCCTTGGGGGATCAATGTCATCCGGGTCTCAACCAATCAGCATGGAATCGTGTGAATCAGCATGGAATCCTGTCCAATCAGCATAGAATCCTGAGAATCAGAATGAAATCCTGTCCAATCAGATTGGAATCCTGTGAATCAGCATGGAATCCTGTCCAATCAGCATGGAATCCTGAGAATCAGAATGAAATCCTGTCCAATCAGATTGGAATCCTGTGAATCAGCATGGAATCCTGTCCAATCAGCATGGAATCCTCAGAATGAAATCCTGTCCAATCAGATTGGAATCCTGTGAATCAGCATGGAATCCTGTCCAATCAGCATGGAATCCTGAGAATCAGAATGAAATCCTGCCCACTCAGAATAGGATCCATCCAGTCAGCATAGAAATCCTGCCCAGGGGCTGGGCAGGTGGTAGAGCGCTCCCCTTGCATGCCTGAGGCCCTGGGTTCGATTCCTCAGCACCACATAAGCAAAAAGAAAAAAAGCCAGATGTGGTGCTGTGGCTCAAGTGGTAGAGCGCCAGCCCAGAGCTGAAAAGTAAAAGAAAGTTCACAGATAGCTTCCAGGCGCTGAGTGCAAGCTCAGGAGGGGCGTGCGCACACGCACACGCACACACGCACGCACGCACACAGTCCGTGTTCCGTGTGTCCGTCCTCCTCCGTTTCCCCGGTCCCCGGCGCGCTGCGTGGCTGACTCAGACGCTGTCTGGCCGTGGGTTCGAGGTGCTGGCAGGGCCGTGCTCACTCACACGGCCTCCCGCATACAGATGAACGTGTTTGAAGCCAAACAACTTTCCGCGTAGGCTTTAAAACTCGCGCTGTAGACGCTGCACGTGCCATTCTGCATGTCCAGCACCGTGAGCCTGCAGGCCGGGTGAGCAAGACAGTAAACATGAAGCCGTCGTCGAGAGGAATCCAAGGGCCGGGCGCGGGGCTCACGCCTGCCACCCCGGCCACTCAGGAGGCTGAGGTCTGAGGATCGCGGTTCAAAGCCAGCCCAGGCAGGAAAGTCCATGAGACTCTGATCTCCCATGAACCACCAGAAAACTGGAAGCGGCGCGGTGGCTCAAGTGGTCGAGCGCCAGCCTTGAGCAAAAAAGAGCTCAGGGACGGCGCCCAGGCCTAAGTTGGAAAAGGCCTTGTGCTCTCTTGGCTTTTTAGCTCAAAGACTTGAATCAGACCCCCACTTCCTACTTTGGGGTGGTTAATTGGAGATAAAAGAGTCTTGCGGATTCTCTTCCCCGGGCTGGCCTCCAACCAGGATCCTCCGATTCCAGCCTCCTGGGTAGGCAGGATGGCAGACGTGAGCACCGCTGCCCGGCATCATTATCTACCTTGTCTACTCTACAATCCCCCTAAATGCAGGTCCTGTGTGTGGTTTTCTAAATACGGTAAGATATGGGAGCATCTGAGACTGTGCTAAAGCCAACCAGGCGTGGTTACGGGACTAACTCAGGGGCAACTCCCAGACCGGGCGCAGGGCAGAGACTCACTGGTGGGGCTGGAGCGCGGAGCCGTCATCCCACCGCCAGGATTCAGAGCCTGGAATCCTCACGAGCCCCAGCCAGTGGTAGGACTTGATCAGCCTTAGAAAATCCTGTCCAAAACCACAGATAAAGCACAAATGAAGCCAATGCTTGCAGGCGCCGGGAAGGTGGCTCAGTGGTAGAGCGCTCGCCTTGCATGCCTGAGGCCCTGGGTTCGATTCCTCAGGACCCCATAAACAGAAAGAGCCAGAAGTGGTGCTGTGGCTCAAGTGGTAGAGCGCCAGCCTTGAGCTGAAGAGCCGAGGGACAGCGCCCAGGCCCAGAGTTCAGACCCCACGACCACCACCACCACCACCAATAATAAAAGCAGTGCTTGCAAGGTATTGCAAATGCCAGGCTGCCATGGATAATTCTTTCTCATTGGAGGTGGCCGGTGGCTCATCCCAGCTACTCAGGAGGCTGAGCTCTGAGAGAGGATCGCAGTTCAAAGCCAGCCTGGGCAGGAAAGTCCAGGAGACTCTTATCTCCAGTGAACCATCCAAAGGCTGGAAATGGAGCTGTGGTTCGAGCAGTCGAGTGCCATCCTTGAGCAGAAAAAAAAAAATCTAAGGGGCCGCGCCCAGGCGCCGAGTTCAAACCAGACACCAAAACCCACCAAGAAACCAAAGTATGTGAGCGCTCCGGGCCGCATCCAGAGGAGACAGGCTGGGCAGGCCTTGGATTATCTGCCTGTCCGTCTGGGATTACAGACTTTGTAGACCTTTGAGGACCAAGCCCCAGAACATTGTCTGTCATCTGTCTGTCTCTGTCTGCCTGTCATCCATCTGTCTCTATCATTCACCTATCCACGTATCTGTCTGTCCATCCGTCTGTCTGTCCTCTGTCATTTATCCATCTATCTGTCTCCAAAATAGCATGGTTGTCTATCTATCTACCATCTGCAGTCTGCCTCTCTGTGCTGGTGTGCGTGTATCTGCACGGTCTGCCTCTCTGTGCTGGTGTGCGTGTATCTGCACGGTCTGCCTCTCTGTGGTGGTGTGCGTATATCTGCACGGTCTGCCTCTCTGTGGTGGTGTGCGTGTATCTGCACGGTCTGCCTCTCTGTGCTGGTGTGCGTGTATCTGCACGGTCTGCCTCTCTGTGCTGGTGTGTGTGTATCTGCACGTGTACATCTATCTAATCCATCCTCCTCTCTATCTGGCCCTACCACCTTTCTTTATCAGTCTATCCAATCATGGATAGTTTGTCTGTCTGTCCATCTTTCATCTGCATTATCTTTAAGCAGCCTTCCAAAGGAGTTTGACTTCACTGTCGGTGTGTGAGAACCACACATCTCCGTCACCCCCATCCCTCCTCCCCCTCCCCTCCCCTCCCTTCCTTCCTTCCCCTCCTCTCC